GACTGAGCGAACACAGCATCAGTGTGTGTGATAAACTGAGCGAACACAGCATCAGTGTGTGTGACTGAGCGAACACAGCATCAGTGTGTGTGACTGAGCGAACACAGCATCAGTGTGTGTGACTGAGCGAACACAGCATCAGTGTGTGTGATAAACTGAGCGAACACAGCATCAGTGTGTGTGATAAACTGAGCGAACACAGCATCAGTGTGTGTGATAAACTGAGCGAACACAGCATCAGTGTGTGTCATAAACTGAGCGAACACAGCATCAGTGTGTGTGATAAACTGAGCGAACACAGCATCAGTGTGTGTGATAAACTGAGCGAACACAGCATCAGTGTGTGTGATAAACTGAGCGAACACAGCATCAGTGTGTGTGTGATAAACTGAGCGAACACAGCATCAGTGTGTGTGTGATAAACTGAGCGAACACAGCATCAGTGTGTGTGATAAACTGAGCGAACACAGCATCAGTGTGTGTGACTGAGCGAACACAGCATCAGTGTGTGTGACTGAGCGAACACAGCATCAGTGTGTGTGACTGAGCGAACACAGCATCAGTGTGTGTGTGACTGAGCGAACACAGCATCAGTGTGTGTGACTGAGCGAACACAGCATCAGTGTGTGTGACTGAGCGAACACAGCATCAGTGTGTGTGACTGAGCGAACACAGCATCAGTGTGTGTGTGACTGAGCGAACACAGCATCAGTGTGTGTGACTGAGCGAACACAGCATCAGTGTGTGTGACTGAGCGAACACAGCATCAGTGTGTGTGACTGAGCGAACACAGCATCAGTGTGTGTGACTGAGCGAACACAGCATCAGTGTGTGTGTGACTGAGCGAACACAGCATCAGTGTGTGTGACTGAGCGAACACAGCATCAGTGTGTGATAAACTGAGCGAACACAGCATCAGTGTGTGTGATAAACTGAGCGAACACAGCATCAGTGTGTGTGATAAACTGAGCGAACACAGCATCAGTGTGTGTGACTGAGCGAACACAGCATCAGTGTGTGTGACTGAGCGAACACAGCATCAGTGTGTGTGACAGAGCGAACACAGCATCAGTGTGTGTGACTGAGCGAACACAGCATCAGTGTGTGTGACTGAGCGAACACAGCATCAGTGTGTGTGATAAACTGAGCGAACACAGCATCAGTGTGTGTGTGATAAACTGAGCGAACACAGCATCAGTGTGTGTGACTGAGCGAACACAGCATCAGTGTGTGTGACAGAGCGAACACAGCATCAGTGTGTGATAAACTGAGCGAACACAGCATCAGTGTGTGTGTGATAAACTGAGCAAACACAGCATCAGTGTGTGTGATAAACTGAGCGAACACAGCATCAGTGTGTGTGATAAACTGAGCGAACACAGCATCAGTGTGTGTGACTGAGCGAACACAGCATCAGTGTGTGTGACTGAGCGAACACAGCATCAGTGTGTGTGACTGAGCGAACACAGCATCAGTGTGTGTGTGACTGAGCGAACACAGCATCAGTGTGTGTGATAAACTGAGCGAACACAGCATCAGTGTGTGTGACTGAGCGAACACAGCATCAGTGTGTGTGATAAACTGAGCGAACACAGCATCAGTGTGTGTGACTGAGTGAACACAGCATCAGTGTGTGTAATAAACTGAGGATCATTCATCACTGCTTTGCATCTTTCAAATTACATGAATGCTTTTTCATTTAGATGCAAAAACCACCCAAACTCTGATCCCAGGCCAGTTTGCCTGTTGGCGTTACAGGAACGCTCTGGAAGGTTCTCTCAGCATTACCAACAAACGTGCGATCAACGTTATCTGCTCTTTACTCATTTAAATCCTCATTTACATATGGCATGTTTTTCCGAAATGTTTAGTTGGACGTTTATTTAAATGTTACGGTCAGAGAACATTCAATAGTACGGTAATGTTTAGAAGAATAAAGTTTTTAAAAACATTTTTTAAACGTTTTAAAAACGGGACATTTGGACCGTTCTGAGACCATGTGTTTGTTAGCTTTGGGCAAAACTGCTAATACTCAAAATCTAACATAATGCAACACTGAATAATACAGTAATCTGCTACGTTTATAATGCCGTATTGAAATATATTCCAAATCTACAAATGTGAAATAATATCAAAATCATTAACACTGCAAAAAAATTGGTTTTCGTACTTAGCATTTTCGTCTTGTTTTCCTGTACGAATATATATATATAGAGAGAGAGAGATAAACCCAAAACAAGATACATTTACAAAAATATAATCTTGTTTTCTCTTTTAAATTGAGTTTTTTTTCTGACCCAAGACTTAATATCTTCAGTCATCTTGCTTCTTCTCCCGTTTAGATATTTGTAATGGAAAACAAGACAGAAACATAATTTTCTAGGAAAATCTCTAGGAAACGGAAAAGTTGTGAATAATATGGAGCTGTGACGTAGACCTGTGTGGTGTAACTGGTGTAACTGTGGTGTAACTGGTGTAACTGTGGTGTAACTGGTGTAACTGTGGTTTAACTGGTGTAACTGATGTAACTGTGGTGTAACTGGTGTAACTGTGGTGTAACTGGTGTAACTGTGGTGTAACTGGTGTAACTGGTGTAACTGTGGTGTAACTGGTGTAACTGGTGTAACTGTGGTAACTGGTGTAACTGCGGTGTAACTGGTGTAACTGTGGTGTAACTGGTGTAACTGTGGTGTAACTGTGGTGTAACTATAGTGTTTTAGGCCGGTGTTCTGGAAGAATGACTTGAATGAAGTGTTTCAGAGCATGTTGGTGTTATAACAGCTGAAAGTTGCTTTAAGAGTTTCAAAAGTGCTGAGAAATGTGTTTCCAGCTGTAAAATATAATCTTGTTTTTTTTTGTGTTTTTTTTCTGTCCCAAGGCTTAATATCTTCAGTCATTTTGCTTCTTCTCCAGTAAATGTGTCTTGATTTAAGAATGTTTCGTAACACTTTAGATTACGGTTAATGAATAACTACACAAGAACCAACGAGTAACACAATATTAACAATCTAGTAACTATTATTAACTAACAAGAATCTCTGATTAATGAACTAGTAAGTAATAGCGCACAGATGAAAGTGCTACTTCACTATTAACTCATCAATAACTACTATTTTTTAATGCTTCCCAGAGAACTACTGTAAAAAGTTTCATAATTCATGCAAAACTAATAAATAACCAAATGACTAGCACTGCATTAACATTTGCACTGCTGTAAACGAATACACAATGTTTATCAATATGTAATAGCAGACTTATGATTTGGGAAAGCTGTTAATAATTGGCCTATGCTGTCTATTTATCAACTGAGTAATCTTAAAGAAATGGATGTTTAATGCAGTTGTCGGGACCGTACTTGTGCTGTGTTTCCCGGCGTTCCTCTGGACTGGCATTGGATCACTCGAGTCACGGTGATACTGGGACATATCGAGTCCTCAGCGCCCAAATACCAGATACAGTGATTATATTATTGAACCTACCTCACAAAAAAAAAAAAGAAGTTTTTATGTATGTCTCCCAGCTCATATATGTGTGTGTGTGTGTGTGTATCTTGTGAGTGATTCGAAGATTCTACACTTTATTGGCTTTTCATTAGTAACTACTGTAAGAGTCATGGGAACTCACTAGTCATGACTCAAGTGTTACTACATACTTCTAAAGAAATTTTCTCTAAAGAAAGTAAAGGCTACTATTTAAAAGTTCATCAAAAATCTCAAACGCTCGAAATGACTTTTGTGTTTTGGTTGCACAAATCATGACTAGATCATGAAGTGACACTTGAGTCATTACTAGTTTGTTACCATGATTCTTACGGTAGTTACTAATGAAAAGTAGCCTGGTTAAAACCAGAGCATTCTCAGTTGTAACTGAGTTATGGTCTGGCAAAGCGTCATAAATCATTTCCAGAGGGGCGTCACCAACGGACGTCGCGGATAGACCTAAACCCAATCAGAGCGATGAAGGAGATGGCGTATGCAGAGCGGCGGAGACACATCTCCGAGTGTTGTTCTTTGCTCGGTTTTTAACTAAAAGGAAACGTTCAAATGGCTTAAAACAGACGCGATAGCTGATTGGAACGAGTGATGTTCGACGGCGGCATCCATCTTTGTAATGTAGGCTACAAAATCTGCTTCAAAATCCCAGCGCTGTCATCATCGTGTAAAGCCCGCCCCAACGCTTCTGATTGGTGCCGCGATTTCGGCGGATTGGAAATGGGCTTGAATGAGCTCTTTGCCAGACTAACTTTCAGAGCAAATCTAAATTTGCCCGAAGTTGTCTGGGTTTTCCCAAGCTAAATGAAAAGCCAATAAAGTGTAGAATCTTCTAATCACTCCTAAGATACACACACACACACACACACACACACACACACACACACACACACACATATATATATGAGCCAGGAGACATACAGGACAGCATAGGCCAATTATTAACAGCTTTCCCAAATCATAAGTCTGCTATTACATATTGATAAACATTGTGTATTCGTTTACAGCAGTGCAAATGTTAATGCAGTGCTAGTCATTTGGTTATTTATTAGTTTTGCATGAATTATGAAACTTTTTACAGTAGTTCTCTGGGAAGCATTAAAAAATAGTAGTTATTGATGAGTTAATAGTGAAGTAGCACTTTCATCTGTGCGCTATTACTTACTAGTTCATTAATCAGAGATTCTTGTTAGTTAATAATAGTTACTAGATTGTTAATATTGTGTTACTCGTTGTTCTTGTGTAGTTATTCATTAACCGTATTCTAAAGTGTTACCGAATGTTTAGATATTTGTGCTGGAAAACAAGACTGAAACATCATTTTTCCATTTCATTCCCATCTCTAGAAGATGTGAAAGCTCTGAATAATTGAAGCATGAATGGTGTGGCGTGTTCTGCGAGTGTTTCTGGAGGAGCGGCGTGATCGGAGCCGGTGTGTGTCGGTGTGTGTAGCGAGCTGAAGTTCATCAGAGATGTGGAAGTGCTGCTGAAACACAGGTAAACACTCAC